GCGGGGGGGAAGAGTCCCCTGGCGTCAATTGCACTCACCAAAAAGCGGCTGTGTCACTTCCAGAAGTCCTGCGGCTGGCGCTCGCAGGGGAGGCAGTGGTGCTGCTGCCTGCCCCACTGCCCTCTGGCTAAACAGGGAGCATGGCCTGACAGGGGCTGTACCAGTGCTCTCAGGGGGTGCATGTGCAGCCCCGTACACCCCCTACACATTGCCACTGCATCTGCTCTTGGTGGGGGATTTACATATAGGTAAGATCAACAAGAACAACCATACTGTAAGATGAACGTATCTTGGATAGTTAGGTTCAAATTTTTCCATGTTCCTGTGCCCCAATTAGCTGCAGTTGCTATAACAATCTCTTTATGGCTATTTGCTGATGATCTTAATTAGAGTAACCTGAAGACTGTTAAATTATGCCTGGGGACTGGGCTGGTGCTCACATATCCCAGAAATAGAGAAGTGTAAAATGTGGCTTAAAGCCAGCATTTGAACACATAGCTCATCCAGTGCCCCAGGGCTACAGATAAGGTTTGGGGCCTTCAGTGTCTAAAACCAGATTGTAATTTTCAACAAGGGATGCACAAGACAAAGAAAACTATAGTGCTGTGCACTCAGAAAAGAAGAGCAAAACCCTCTAGGTTGAAATGGAGCCTTGTCTGGGACCAGTTCATTTTCAGTACTGATGACTAATTACATATTCACTTTGGTTGATGAACCTGTATGCAGGTGGGTGGGCAATATATGGGTCTCTTATCTATGTCAGCTGGGGGCAGAGACAAGCAGACATGAAGGGAGAAGTTACCTGTGCATGATAAAAACATTGTGCAAATTATATCATTCTCAGAGCAAGGGGGGATCCAGTAAAGGAATCACTAGGGAGCTCCTGAAGGTGTGCAGCTTTATATCCTCTACATGGAGGCATTCTCAATTAGAAAGACAAAATGCACGATTTCCTGATGTAAGCCAACCCCAACTTAAATAAGATTTTTTTTTATAATCATGGCTGTAGTCTAAAGTAAATTTATTTGTTTGAATTTTTAACCTTATGTTCCTCTGTATTACTCTGCATCCAGTTTAACATATGATGGTGAAGTGCTATTAATTTGGGGTTGGTTTCATGCTTTTTCTGCCTGCTAAACTGTATGATCTCCAGCTGTCTCCAAATATTATCCAAACAAGAACCAAAGATGCTTTTATAGATATCCTTTGCCTTGGACAAATACCCTGTTTAAAAAAAAAAGAGACAAGTAATTATTTAAATCTGACATTTCACAAACTTTGCAATAGCAAAAGGGGAAAAAAAAGAAAACTGTTCTGATTTACTTAATCTACACAACTTTTTCCTTCATTTAAAGATGACGTATAAAGGAAAGCTGAACATTTGGCCATGGATAAAAGTATTTGCAGAATACTCCCATTAATCGGGTCCTGGACATTTTAAGCATACAAATAACTTCTTAAAAATCCATCTAGCTCCTCCTCTACTGGCTGATTGCAGGCTGCCTCTTGATATTCCAGAACATAGCATTATGGAATTTCAGATACTGGACAATTAAGCTGTGATACTGAAGCAGCCTGTAGGGATTTTTCTTATATGCCACTTCCTTCAGAGCTCTGTGCTTTCATTTACAATACACTAAAAAGTTTAAATTATCTGCATCCCAACTGTTGGTTCATTATCACAGTTATTTTTAATACCTGTAACATGTCTGAGAGATGCACTTTGTGTATCAACAATTAAATTGAACCAGACCAGGAGACTCCAAGTTATAATACGAGAGTATTTAAGAAAGTAATGGCAATTTTGAAATAAAGCATTTTTCTGCTCCTGATATTTATTCTCCACTTGAAACACTGACTTTTGGGACTGTGAAATCATCATAATGGAGGCCATGTGTGTATTCTGATAAATCTGTGCATGAACTCTTATTACACTGTAATGGAAATGAACACATGAAATAGGACCTTGTGATTTCAGGTGTGAAATAAGAAGGAAATCAACTTTTATATCCTGATCTTTAATTTTACCAGAGGGGGCGAAACGGATGTAGAAACAGACATCGTCTTTGTGCCACTATAAACATTGGCACAAAGGCCAAGCAAACAGATATCCATACCTCTTGTCATACTACAAATACCCAAAATTTGTGGCTGCGACAAGCAGTATCAATTTCTGCTGCTTTATTGTGGCTAGAGGTGTGGGAAGCAGGCCATATTTGATTTGGATTTGGCCCGATTCAGGGGACAGTGATTCTATTCACTGATTTGGATCACTGTTCTGATTCGATTCAGCTGAATCCAAATCTGAAGATTCGATTCTGATTCAGAGAATCAGCGATTCGGCCATAGACACAGCTTTATATGTTTTTTCTACGTACCTTGAGGTACCAGACACAGCTTGTGAACGCTGAGATGGTGGGGCGGATGCAGTGTCCCATAGGAGCGCGGGGGGCCCCCATCATGCTTGGCAGCAGACCCTCCCCCCCCCTTCTGTGTCCCCCAGCTTGGTGATCAGCTGTGGGGGGACTCTGGGTGCCCCCAGCCCAGGCGCCGCGACGGTGGGGGGTGTGGGGGGGGGGGGGGGGGCGGGTCTGCTGCGCACTCTGCAGCAGACCCAGAAGTGGTCAGGAAGTACTTCTGGTCCACTTTCAGGTCCGCTGCCGAACGCACTGGGGACCCCCCGTGCTCCTGCGGGACGCTCCATCTGCCTCACCATCTCAGTGTTCATGATCTGTGCCTGGTACCTGGAGGTATATAGAAAAAACCTATAAAGCTGTGTCTATGTCTGAATCATCGAATATCTCTGAACTGAATTGGAGGCTTAATGGGTCTCCTGATTCGATTCGGATTCGGAGACACGGTAGCTGAATTGGGCCAAATCTTCTCTGAATCGAATCAGCGAAGCTTTGCAGAGCCCTAATTGTGGCAGACATTTGTAGGTTTACGGTAGGAGAGCACTGTTAGCCTAGAGCCACCTGCACTCTCCAGCCACCCCAGGCAAGTGGTCTTGGGGCTTCAGGTGCATGCCCTGGGAATTTCTGTGCAGGATCAGGCTCCTTGAGACTTGGAGGTGCCTGCCCAGCTTTCCCCTCTTCCAGAGGCAGATCCTGAGGGCATGTCTCAGTAAGTGGGGAAACCCCAACTTTCCCCACTTACCAAGATATGATCAGGAGATTGGTAAGTAAGAAAAGCTGACCAGGTGCTCCCAGGGCTTGAGAGCTCCAATCCTACTCAGGAGTTCTCAGAAGCACAGGATCTGGACCCTCAAGTCCTCAGAGTACTTGTCTGGGGTGGCTGGACAGTGCAGGCTGTGACAAGTAGTATGGATGTCTGTTTCCTTGGCTTTAGTGCTGCCATAACATTTTTTATGGCAGCACAAAGGTGATGAAAGGCAATGTCTAATTTCACAGGTAGGGTCTGTTTGTTCCCCAGTGGTTCTGAGACCCCTGCAGAGAAGCTGGTCCTGTCTACAGAAGACTGCGCTACAGGAAATGACAGGGTAAAGCTAGGTGAGGCACCCACCATAGCCAGTCTCAACCACACCAGAAGCAGAAATCTTAAGAGCAGCAGCAGGGGGTGTTCCCTACATGACTTTACCAACTGTTCCTGTGTTTGGTGCCTGCATCATAGAAGCAGGTGCACAAGGCCACACATATCACTGATGTTCTCTGGGACACCTGGGAAGCAGTACAGACATACCCTTAGTCACAAAAGAGTATATGAATTCCAACTGGCTGTACACTGTTCTGAACACTAAATATTGAACAAAGAAATCATTGTTGATAGTCATTTGCTTATGTCATTTTTTCATGTTTCCCAGTGTTAACTCAGAGATAACAATGCAAAATTCAGTATTCAGGGAGTTTGAGCAAAACCAGATATGACGCAACTGTGTGAAATTGTCTTGGCTGTTTCTTGGCTAAATCTGTGCTGTACCAGCATTTTTGCTGCTAAACAGCATTTTTGTTACATGTCAGTCATACCTGCCAAAGAAAGGCAACTTGCCCTGAATTGGTGTTTAATGAGTGTACAAAAGCAATGAGGCAGAAATAGGTTGAAACTGTAAGATGAGATATTATGAGAGTCTAATGATAGATATCCCCGAGTCAAGACTGAAACAAGGATTGGAGGACTCCATGGCATATTGAAGGCATGGCCAGCCTTCAGCATGAGTACCACAAACAGTACAGGCAGACTGTGTGGCACCTGGCAGGTTAGGAAGCAGACAGATAGCACAGTAGCCAACAGAGCAAAAAGAAAGGAAGGGATCAAGCAGGGTAAGAAGCAGAAAACAAAGGAGGGGGCTGGGCAGGGAATACAGAATAGGGAGCAGGGAGGGTTTGGGTTAAATTGTTATATACCTGCCAAAAAGGTTGACCGCCCCCCCGGCATACTGAATATCAGAGAGAGGTATGGCATCAAGCTCAGCTATACTGAATATCAGCCAGCAACATTTTGGGGGTAACCTACCATGCTTCAGAGATAATAAAGAGGGAATACACCTGTTTGTTGTTGATACTAACCTAATGCTCTGTCTAATTCACACATTAACAGGAGATCTCTAACTGTTACCAGTAGGTGTACTTGGGCAGCATGTTTGAACAGCTTTAGTTCCTTCTCACTTGTTTTTCCTGTACAAAAGAAACTTTTTTTAATCCATGCATGGTTTGCATAGAAACTCCAGAAACTATATTGCTTAAATTAAATTATACAAAGGGAGCTGATGTCTCAGAATAAGTCCCTCACAATTATATTCAGATGAATACAAACATGTTCTTCCTGTGGATCTTAGCAATGCAAACACAATATGTATGTAGATGAAGCAGACATTTTACCTCAGTTAAATTACCTGTGTGAGATCTGTAGTAGTCTAACTGCTTGGATTATGTTCATTCTCATCCACCAGAAGGAGACGGATTATTAAATAATTATATTATACCTCTACTTAAATATAAAGATCTATCCTTCTTTCAGACTTCAACTGTAGTTCCCAAGAAATCTGGCTGACTTCATTCCTTGACATTCAGTAAACACCCTCAAACTACCAATGGTAACCTGAATTCACACTTTTCAGAGAAAATTTGCATTAAAATTTGAGCCATTAAAATACTATTCCTAATGGAAGATGGTCTGGATTGGTATAGTACATTAAAAGAAAGAAAAGGAACATTTTCCAAGGGAAAGTGGTGTTGGCTCCTACTCTGGGGGTCTTTAAGAAGCGGCTCGATGCCTACCTGGCTGGGGTCATTTGAGCCCAGTTTTCCTCCTGCCCAGGCAGGGGGTCGGACTTGAAGATCTACAAGGTCCCTTCCGACCCTACTTCTATGATTCTATGATTTAAAGAAAAGAGGGAATTTCCTCTTCAGTTTTTAATACAAATCCAGACATACAAGACCTCCCAATTTGAAACCTCAAAGTAGCTCATATATTAGACTACAGGAGGGATTTGGATTTAATATCTGTTCAGTCCACCCACATGCCAAAGGCTACCCTTAGTGGAAGCCTGAATATCTTTCTGTAATATTTGGGCAAAGGTACATCCAGGTGTCAGTCTGATTTTCAAACCTCTAACAAAAATACTGACTTAATTTTTCTGATTCCATTTTCCTTGCAATAACATAAACTTCCCTGATTAACACTTTAATCCACTTTGATTGAGTAGATTTAGACATTGTTCATCTTTTCTTTGGCCCTTGGATCAGAACAGATCTTCACTGAACTCTGCTACTTGCTCTGGGAAAATCTGCAAGAAGCTATGAATGACCTGGCAAAGAATCCTTCTTCCTTTCGTATTTGTTACTTACAAGCAGAATGTAAGTAAGGAAATTTGCCTAATTCAGATAAAATGCAAATGGTATTTTAGGCTTAAATTTGGTGCAGACGGAGTTTCTGAACCTTCTCCCTAGTGGTAGAATTCTGGGCCTGGGTTGTTACACACCAGGCTACCTATTTAAAACCTGAAAGAGCTTCCTGGCAGATGTTGCCTCTAATGTGGACAAACATAGCTAAAATATTTGAAACTTCCTCTCTTGTCAGTTTGGCATTGATCTGATTTTCAGTCTGGGTGGCAAACAAATGCAACCTCTAAATCAGGTCCTTTTGAGCTGTAGTCCAGATATCCACAGATCTCATGAGCCAATCATGAAATCAGACAGGGAGTAGTAAACCTTGTCCACTATTCCCCAAAGAATAGCCTGGCTATGAAGGATTTTGTTTTACTGCCCACTATTTCAGTCAGAAAAACCTGTTCACTGACATAGGTAATGCTGCAAACCAAAGAGCTAGGACAAAAATGGGAAGACCATTGTTAGGGTGGATTGTCATATTTGGTTTCTGATGTTCTGCTCATTTTCTCCAACCATTCAACTGAGTTTGGAGAAACATAGACTTCCTTAAAAATTACTCTTAATTTAAACTGAAGACTGACAAAGATCTCTCCATCCTTTAAGGGGGTCTGATAATGCTCTACCCACTTCTCTGTGACTTGATGCGGTATTTGTGATTCCTTTGATGGAAGTATATAGCTTTAGTTCTCTCTCAGCATATGTGTTTGTTCTCTGAAACGACTCTGTTAACAATTTGCTTCGCTGGCCACTGTGAAAAATGAAGTGAACTTTGATATATCCTTTATTTAGTTTCTCTTGACCCCTGCGTACCAAAAAATGTTATTTTCTTCACAGTGTTCCTCACTAGCATTTTCCAGTATATGTTGCTTTTTTGTATTTTAAAAAACACATTAAACAAACACATTTGCTTCAACCATAACCTACAGAAGCTCATAACTTACTTTGCTGATTTTTTAAAATTAAGACCCTTTTTATTGATAGGGTGGCAAGTTCTTTACCCATGTCAGAAGATAAATTAGAATTAGACAAACTACATGTATTATATTCCATCTCAGAGTTTATAAGCAGCCTTAGTCATTCTTCATTTAGCTCCCGTGTAGTCAAGCAGACATGACAAAAATAGCCACCAAACACAAAGAAAAGGACAACAAAAATACATACTGGTATATTACAGTGTGTGGGGATACGAATTAAAACATTCCTTCAGTGTATAATTAACCAGGACCAAATATTTTATACACATCTAAAATGTCCTTAAATTAGATTTGGACTAATATGTTTTTAATATTAAGACCTGTGCGTTAGTAAAACAATATGGAAAACAAAGTCTGTGTGAAAGGGGCAAACTCCAAGGCCTGATCCAATACCAGCCTGCCACCTGTCTACGGGCAAAGTGCCCGCCTCACTCACCTGCCATGCCTTCATTGTTAGATAAGTAAAAAGATGATTTTAGGTGGGAGATTGCCCTTTGAGCACCGTGATGATGACAAAGGGTGGTTCCTACCTCCCCCTATTGTCCCCCATTTCTTGGGGACTCCCTCGCCACAAGGAGTCCCACCAGACCACCCTTCCCCAGCAGGGTGCAGTTTCAGGTCATGCCAAGGACCAGGAGCCTCCTGCCATCCCCACAGCCCCAGCCTTTACCCCCAAGATGTTCCGGGAGCAGCAGCTCAGCCAGGTGGTGTTACTCCCTTGGTGGGTAGCAGCAAACTGCTGCTCCAGCTCTAAAATGACCACCCTCATCAAGCACCTGCTGGCTGCCTGCTCTTAAAGCCCTTAAAGTGACAGGCACCCAAAAGGTGCTCTGTCACAGTCTGTATTAATGAAGATCTTTTGGAAAATAAAAGTCAGTTACTATCATCCCATAAAATAGGAAACTGCTGAAAGCCCTGTCAGTGATTTGTTAAACTCACTCAATCCTATTACAAATGAAACCTCATTATTACCGATGAAGAGCACACTGCATTTTGAAAGATGTTGGTAGCCACACCAATCCTACCTTGTTTAAAATCATCACAGATCACTTTCTCCTGCTGTCTTAAGAAGAATCTAGTGTGGTCAAATTTAACGGCAGCAAACCTCCAACTCTTTGAGGCAAGCATGCCAAGATCCATCATCTCTTTTAAAACAGGAGTGGCGGCGGCTGCTAAGACGTGGTATGCCTGGCACTGGCCCTCTAGTTAACATAAATTAAAAAAAAGGTGATACAGTTTGGTTACCCCTGATGCTGTTGAATAAAGTAGTCAAAATGTCTTCCATAAAACAACAAAAAAGATTTCTTCACGAAATCTGCAACCCTTGTTAAACTTTAAACTTTTTTTTACAGTTTCTTAATGACTGTTTCAGAAGACACAACTTTTTAGGGCAACTGACATACATTCATTTAATGGCACAATGGGAGCTGATCCCTGATCCCAACAATTGTGTCTCCTGCCATGTCCCATGTGCATGGAAGGGTGCATGCTTTTAGGATCAGGGATCAGATCCCAATGGTGCCATTACTACCTCCCAGTGTAGGGGGAGCTGGACTCCTCCTGAACTGGCAAGTTGAAAGCTGGGTGTCTACAGCCCAGATTAACCCAAACGGTCATGGGGCCAGAACCAACAATCAGCTGATTTTTGGTCTAGTCTCAGGACTGCACTGAGGCCAATTCAACAATCTGGTGCAGTCTCAAGGCTAAGACAATCAGCTGATTGTTGGTCCCAGTCCCGGGACTGCACAAGAGCCAGTTGCAGACCCCAATGCCTTTCCAGGGCTAGAACCAACAAGGGAGCACATTAGGGCTGGCTCAAGACTCTGGTGTGGTCCCAGGACCAGGACTGCACCAGTCTTAAGTCACCTCTGGTTACCCTGCCATATGTTCAGTTTAAAGAGCAATGGAAACCAGCAACAGAAATGTTACACCTATTTTGTGAAATATTTTTGTGGCTGGTTTCCTGTTTTGTTGCACCATTACTTCCTTGAATGTGTGGCAGAATTACTATTTATGAGGTGATTAACAGGGTAATCACAACTTAATTGTAACACCTGCCAGGGGCTTAAGATATAACCAAGTTTTCATAGCACCAGGTTTCAGTAAGTTAACAGAAAAAGTGAAGGATTTCAATCTACTGCTGATGTTGAATTAGCTGGATGTTACTGCTGATGTTGAATTACTGAATGTTATAGTTCAGTTGATCACAAGGACAACTTGTCATTGTTTTTACTTTTCAGGGTTTATCATTCATTGTAAAAATACCTCAAGCTGACTTGCCAGGTTTGAAACGTTTCAGTAGCTGATACACTTTTTTGCTATCTTATGGTCTCATTATGATTAGTTAGTATTTGTTAACACTTTAAAGAAGTGGAACATTATGATAAGCGTTCACTATCCGCATCTCTAGTTCTGTATTCTTTGTGGTCAAATGCTGTGTTTTTGCTAGTCAACACAATGCAATTTAATTAAATCATTAATGTATTAACAAATAATTTTCTTTTTAAAGTGCTCTAATATTTCCAGTAATGCACCATTAATGTTTCATTGTTTTTACAAATGTGGTTATGTGTGGTTTTCTATTCTCTCTCTGCATTGGATCAAGCTTGCTTCTGACTGAAGAACTGCTTTATGTGTAATGGCACTATGTCAAAATGTCACCATGTTTCAGAGACTGGCATGCAACAGTCCATCATATTTTATAGCACCTGAGGATAATATAGGTTGTTTATGCTGATTGATGAAAGGCTTTATTTTCAGTTGCATTGAAAACTTTTGTTTCCTGACTTACAAAGAAAAAGCATCTGGTTTTAGGTCCTGATTCATGGATTATGAATTTTTACATCAAAAAAGTCATTGGTTAAAACCAGAAATAATCTTGAGAGTTGTGATTAGCATCCAAGCTCCCCACTTGCAATTAATGTGCAGCAATAAACTCCAGTGAATATTGCACCAGAGTTTGTTGCTCCTGGGTCCTGTGTTTGAATATGCTCTAAGGCCTGCAGGACATTGAGCTGGGTTGCAGCAGCCCCAGCAGGCAGGGGACCCACAGAGGTCAGCCTGATAGCCTGGGGCTGCTTTCACCTGACTCAACGTGCTGCAGAGAGGGAAGCTGAGGTACAAGGGTGCTTCAGTGTGGGACTAGCTAGTAGGCAGCCCCTGCACTGAAGAACCCTTGTGCCTCAGCCAGCCCTGTAAGCATCTACATGTGCATTGCTGTGGAGCAAGAAACTCCACTGTAGGACAGTACTTGTGTTTACAAGTACTAACCTATTGCAGAGTTAATTAGTTTTACTCCACAAGTATATGCCGAGATGTTTACTGCAGAGCTAATTAGTCTACTCTGCAGTAAACAACTCATGTAGAGGCACCCACAGAGTCATGTTCCTTCCTGCTTGCACTCTTTCTAGTCCCTGGAATCTTGCATTCTTTTCTACCCAATAACAGAGCTCCACAGCAGGGGCAGAGACTGCTTCTCCCAACCCACCTAAACCTACAGCCTGGTGGTTATTCAGATCCTAAGATGTTTTTAGCTGTCTTATATGCCCTCCTGACATGCAAACTTATGCATATGCCATTGTTTTAAGGACATTTTCTATTGAGATTACCACTAGCTTCCTTTCATTTTCCCTTTTTCTTCTCAAACATCCAAGCAAAGAACAGATGCAAAGCTAATACGTTTGTGTTTGTGCCTCAGTGTTTCAATATACAGTATGGGGACTCTTTCAGTTAGTTTGATTTCTAGTATCAGGACTCTCTCAGTTCTGGCATAATTCAAAACTATTTATTTTTCAAATGTTATCATCTGCCAGTCTTGCAATGGAACTTTGTTGGATGGACTCCCACATACATAATGGCAGAAGGAACCACCCACATAAACATCTGCAGCACAAGGACTTGAACACAGAATGAAACTGGTTTCCATATTAGTTTTGTACAGGTAGAAATTATTTTATATAAATCTGTATTCCAATAAAAATAATTTAACTGCTTAAACCAAAAATTTGATACCTGAGGCTTGAACTTGGATTGAAACTCTGTCTTGAGTCTCCTGTTCTGGTTTCTTTTTCAGCACAGCCTTGTAAGCAGCCGGAATGTCTTGTTTAAGAATTTGTGAACGCTCTTCTTCATTTTCGAGAACTACAGCATTGACCATAATGTTGATACATAATTATCACAACAGCCCAAAAAATAAGTATATTTCTTAACATGTATCTCTACTTGCTAATGAGCTCAGGTACCACAGAGCAATAATTTTTGTTTTTACTCTTGAAAAAAGACAATAGTTTATTTTTACCCTTTATATCCCCTAGGTGTTCCTACTTCCTGGCTGCAGTCACTTGATACATGGGCCAGTGTTTGAAGAAAGTGGGTTCTGTCAGATCTAAAATGCAGTTACTTTTTGTTTGTTACAGAGATCCTGACCCTGGAAAACTTTGGGAAGCTGCCTCTACAACCACAGAGAAACACTCCTTAATGAGCATTAGGTCAAGAAAGCTGTGGAGTAGAAGGACATTTGTGCAACCACTCATTTATTCAGTGTATGGCATGGCGGGTCTGACTAAAGTCATAAGGAAGTTAGAAAGATGAGGGAAGAGGAGAAGGATAATACAAAGGTTGGAAAAAACTTATTTAAAGGAGTCTGTTCTGAAGGAGTCCCTTCATTTCCACTTCTTTGCAGCTGTTCCCTTAGTCTCTTTAGCACCTCAGTAGCTCATTATTTCCTTTTCCTCCTGCTCGTCCCTCTATAAATATTATATGCAAATAACATTCTAAACTTAAAAGAAAACATTACAAGGGGATTGCAAGGAGGTTTATTTGTTGGGGGACAGTAGATCTTCAATCAATATAGCTACTTTTTAAAAGGGACTTTACTGATCATGTGACACAATAGCATCAAATACTATTAGTACTTAGTATTAAAAATACTGTTAGTATTTAGCATGAAATATTGTTGTATTATTTCTACAGGAATGATACAAAATGTTCAGTTTCCCAAGAGCCTATACACTCAGGTATCAGTAATACACAACACTTCAGCTAAATTATAAGCATTTACTACTTCATGATACATTTAGTTTAGCTAAGCCTCCACAACTGTTAACAAGGATTTACGTCTACAGTTATTCTGGACACCATAACACACCCACAACATCTGCTTACAGATGTAGTTCCAGGTAGAGTTCACTAGATGGTAACATTGGACCTCAGTTCAGATGCCTTCATTTCGTATGTTTAGGACAGGGATTAGCATTTTTATAAGCTCTGAAAGGATTCTGTATGTGTATCAAAGGAAAACAAGAAGAGATGATTTTACTTTAAAATTTGTACCCAAGTTCTTAGGAATAATTAGCTTTCTAAAATTATGTAAGGGTTCAATTAAAATCTGTATTAAGGACTTAACATCCTAGGCCCATTTTATGGTATTATAATTATGACTGAGAAGATTTGCATCACAACCTTTATTTTTTGCCCAGGGGTATAACACTCACATGTAGGTATGTAAACTTTATTAAAGCTTTGTTAAACCAGATCCTTGCAGCATTTTATTTTCAGTGTGATTTTACTTTGAAAAGTGATTGTATATACATGCCATTGCCTTTCAATGACTTCTTTTGCAAAAGTGCTCAATTAACAAATTAGAAGACTTACTTTCTACCTATTAATCTCATGCTCAGCCTGCAACCTGGGCTTCCTTCTCATGCATCAACACCCAGCAAACCATATTCTGCCTCCTTCAACTCCTGTTCAGCCTCACTGAGTCATTAGGTTTGCACAAGTTTAAGTGATTGGAAAAATTTTGTTGGCAGAAGGGTTGGGGAGGGAGGCAGCAAGGGGAGAGGGAGAATCTAACTCACTCTTTGAGATCTACTGGTTCTATAGGACTAAAAAATAGAAAGCAACAGAAACTTTATCACAGAAAATAGTAGACTGGACAGAACACACACAGGGAGCCAAGCTCATGAGCAAAAGGTACTATTTTCACAATCACCATTCATAGTAGAGCCTAACTTTAATATATAATTAAGGCAATAAATAAATAAATAAAAAGGTACTGCCATAGATGAAATATCACATGAATAGAAATTTCACCATGTGTTCATCCCATGTAGTTCCACTGACTTTGGTATAGTTACACCCGATTTACAGTTATGTAAGAGAGTAGAATCAGGCTCAGAATAATGACTGGACAGAATGGTTCACCTACCCTCTTTTTGACCAGCCACATTATTCTTTTCTTCATTTGGGATAAGTACATGTTTAGATCTCAGCATAATGAAGTTGCTCAAAAGGTCAGAACCATCATCACATTTTCTGGTCAGTTCAGCTGGTGTATTCCTTTCATTTCTTGAAGAGCTGTTTGGTTCAAAAAATACTTCCTGACAGCTGAGGGATTCAAGGTTATTCTTGTCTTCTTTCTCTTGGTTTAGGAAATGTGTTGGTATTTCTATCTTATTTTGTTCTATCTCTTCTCTTGTTAGCTTTTCAGCAGGTGTACTTGCATCATGTATGACACCACATTGTGCTGCCTTCATATGTAATGGAGAGCACTGGTTTTTCTTTTGAGGACTGAAATGTAAATTTGTTGTTTTGTCCTTGTGATGTGCACCAGCAGAAAGCAATCCTTGGTTACTAATGGAATTTTTTTCTTCAAGCCATCCTGAAAGAAAAGAAAATATTTCCCTATAGTTTTGAATTCTCCTAGTAAGGACCCACACCTTTGAAGAACTTATAACTCATGACAGTGGACTTGCTATTGGTACGATTGTACTGATTACTCTATTGTACTAATCATGTTATCTCCAGGTAACAACAAAGTTGAAAAAACACAAAGTAAGAACTCCATTATAGAAAATAATTTAAGTGCTTTCAAACATTTTCTGCACTGGTATCTGTGCTGTTTAGGCCCCTGGCATGCATTCATTTAAAGACACAATGGGCACATCTACATGTCACCCTATGTTGCTGTCATAGATGGAGGGAGAAAATATTATTGGGGGGGGAGGGCTGAGTGCATGTGTCAGGGTGAGAACTACAACTCCCTTTGGGCAATGCACGATGTGACACGTGTGGTTAGCTCCTTCCTCAGCTTCACAGAGCTGAAGGTGCGTGGGGTGCTGGCCTGGCTGCACGCTGAGCGGCACTGTGGTGCTGCTGGTATTGCCAGCCACTGCAAAATTAGTTTTGGGGGAGGGCTAAGCCCCCACCAAACCCTGGCCTTGTGCCACCTATGGTTGCCGTAACAATGCACTCAATCACCAAATGATGCGCTACAGCGACTTAGCCATCATATGACTCTACATGTGACTGGCAGCTACTTTGCCACAGTGGTGTGTTCCCCCATTTTAGTGCACTGCTATGGTGAAGTAGCAGCTAAAACTAACTGCGAATGGCACAGTATGGGCAGTTACTATGCCATGCTTTAGTATTTCCAAAGTACTTTTTGAAGTACTAAAGCACAGTGCAGTAACAACGTCACCATAGGGCAATGTGTAGACATGCCCAATGACATTTCATCCCCAATCCTAAATTGTACCTCCTGCCATGCCACACATGCTCCTCCTGATCATGATCCCGGCTTCCCCTGCACTAGCAAGGGTGAAGGTCCAAGACCCAGGAGGACACTCAGCTGATTGTTGGCTCTGGTCCGGGACCACTCTGGGGTCTTAAACTGGACCCAGTGTGGTCTGTAGTCAACAATCAGCTTACTGTCAGCCCCAGCCCCTGACTGCCTCAGAGGAAGTTCAAGACCCTGTATGGTTCCTGGCTGGAGCTGACAGTCAACTGATTGTTGGCCTTGGACCGCACTGGGGCTGGTTTGAGACCCTGGTCAGATCCCATTGTTTGTTTAAATGAATGTTTCCCAGACTTACAGGGCATTTATACACGTGATCCAGGAGGTGGGGAGGGAGGGTTTGCTTTAACTAGAGCAGCTTCAAGAGCTACTCTAATTAAAGTGCCTGGAGCGTCATGTGTCTGTGCTGAAAAATGGCGGTGGGGGTGCTTTAACTAAAGCTTGTTGAATGAGCTTTAGTTAAAGTACCCACACCACCATTTTTCAGTGTGGGGAGGCCAATACACATGACATTGGCATCTGCTGGAGTGCAGTGATTATCACACTCCAGCAAAGCAGATTTATCAAGTCTGCTCCAATGCACTGTAATTACAGCATGTCAGAGCAGCCTCGATGAATATGTATAGGCATCCCAAAATGCTTAAAATTTAAGGTGCAATACAACGTAGAATATTTTTATGGCTGGTTTGCCATTTTATGGCACCTTAAGTTGAATGCATACGTAGCATCCTTGCTGTTTATGCTATGATTAATATGTTAATAATGGCATAAATGTAATGGGTAGAGGGGTCTTAAAGTCTTGTCGTTTGGGGTGGGAAGAAATTTGGTTAAGGATATAGGTAACTGTGTTTATTGGAAACATTTTACATTTAAGGATATATATAGAAAGCATATAGCTTCCTGCTATATATGTATGTTTATAATGTTATAGCCAAATATTTTGCAATATGATGTGCCCCTAGAATGTTGCCACAGGTAGGTGGCAGGGTTCTTCCATGTGGCTTACAGTCATGTTCCATATAGTTGGGGATGGTCCTGCTTTGAGCAGGGGGTTGGACTAGATGATCTCCTGAGGTCCTTTTCAACCCTAATTTTCTGATTTTATGACTTTACATATCACCATAGTGAGAAAACTCCAGCTGATCAATGAATTTTCACTACCACACAAGCAGCTGAATTTCCTACAAGTCCTGGACCACTGAGCTATCCTTGAAAAAACTAGAACTTTATGGAAGTCTGATAAACAGATTATAGGATGGAGATGGGCTTTTCTTTGTGACTGTAGGGGATAGGACTAAAAACAATGGCCTCAAGCTGTAGCCAGGGAAATTTAGGTTGGAGATGAGAAGGAATTTTCTGACTATGAGGGTGTTCAAGCATTGGAACAGGTTACCTACAGAAGTTGTGGAATCTCCAACACATGAAATTGTCAAAAGCCGGTTAGAAGGACACTTGGCTGGGACGGTTTAATCATGGATGATCCTTCCTTGAGCAGGTGACTGCACTAGATGACCTTGTAAGGTCCCTTCCAGCCCAACTTCCCTATGATCCTGTTGTTCAGTATTATAGTGATACCAATGAATAATAGAAATTTATATTTATTTGAAATTATTTATTACCTTTCATTCAAGAATTCTCCTGTCATTATGTATTTTATTGAAAATATGAAGGGCCTGATATGGCTAATTTTCACTTGCAACTACCACATTTTCCATATGCAGTCCTATTAATTGTAAGGGCCAAAAAAGGAGGCAATTGCACATACACTTTTATCCATGCAAATGCCAATCTAACCTTTTCAAACTTCAACCTTATGGTACGATTACTTAATAAATTATGCTGTTTTAATTTCTTTTATTATTCTGGGTGAGAAATTTTCTCAGGGGCAGTAATGTTGAATCTGTTAATGAACCAAGTGATTCTCTGCCCCTTTCTGTGTCGTTTTCATCATTGAACATTTCTAACAAAAAACAAATATACTTACTTTCTAACTGAGCTGATGTAATTTGTGAGAATGTTTCCACCTGAGTAGGAAGCAGGCTATTTGCAGTAGCCAAATCTGTGTTTACTAATTGCTCTAAAACATCTGGTGATACCAGATTTAATCCTGAGTAAAGCCACCAGTCTGCTTTCAATGGGCTAAACACTGGTGTTTCTACTGTAACAGATAGTAACTTCTTCAATTCTATAACTGAACAATGTTGGCATGTATGCTCAGCAGCTGGATGCTCTAAAAAGAGAAAATATTCTGTATTAAAAAACTAGTAATGTCAGGAAAAAACCAAAGCTTGGAAAACAAAACCCCTTCTAAATATTTATGGCTTAGATTATGGATCTCTTTTTGGATATACTTCTCATAGCAATTCAGGATCCTAAATTGGATATAAGAAAAAAAACCCAACCATTTTACCCACATTAGTAAAATCAGCTCTTTCACACTTCATCTTTTGTGTTAAACTCTCTAGCTGTGATTTTAACTTTAGTGTCTTGGTATATACACCTGCATCTGTGCTTTACACATGATGCAAAATTTGTTCATTCTGTGGTTTTAATTGCCGTGCTTACAAGCAGCTATTTTAGTCAATACTTGGAGAGAAAACCCTAAATAGTAACTAGATTATTTTACAAAGGAATTAGATGACATCAATTGCTAATCTGATCTCAAACTATCAGGGGACAATGGGGGACAATGAAATGTGTGAACAGTGGTGATGGGTTTTTGGCTGCTGTTTTATAACTCGCATGCTGGTTTCAGAAATAATATATGGCTTATTGGTTTTGCTTCTGCACTTCACTTCCTAATGTGTTCTTTTGGCATTAGAAACTTAAACTCCCCATAATTATGCCCACATTATGGAGGCTATTAACAAGGACTTTCAAACAATAATCGCACATAAATTACACTCACTTACAAAAATTACCATTTCCATTAAAAGTAATTAGCAGCAGGTGAACTGAAGCTTTTCCAACAAGAGCATGACTAATTGTTTTATGCTATGTGTTCTATTTAGCACTAGTATGGTCTCCCACCTGGAGAACGGTTTTGTTTTGGCAGAATACATTAAGAAATATGTAGACAAACTACAGACGGTCCATAGAAGAGCAAGAAAAATGATCAGAGATCTAGGAAACATGACATAAGGAAAGGCTCAAAGAATCAGGATTATTTTAGCTGGAGAAGAGAAGACTGAGGGAGAACCTGATAAATCATCAAACCCACACAAACTTGTTATAAAGATGGTAATCAATTATTTTATATGTCCACTGGGGACAGGACAAGTAGAAATGGGTCCAAACTACAACAAGGGAGTTCTAGGTTAAATATCAGTATGACCTTTCTAATTACAAGACTGTTTAAGCAGCGATTACTCAAAGAGGTTATGCAATCGCGTTCACTGAGTCAGGTAGGGATGATCCTGCCTTCAGCAGAGGGTTGCCCTAGACAATTTTTGAGGTCGCATCCAGTCGTATTTTTCAGTGATTCTCTGAAATTATTACTGTGGAAAGATGAATATTAGGCAAGCTAATTAGTTGCCTCATGGGAGGTTCTTAGCCAGCAGGGTCTTGTTCTTTTTCTCAAGGTCAAACTGATTTGGGTCAGAAAGGAGCATTTCCCCTTGGTCAAATGGAATGGACTGTGGGAGTTGTTGCCCTCCTCTATAAGCAGGTATGTCAAACATGCCTGTGGGCCAGATCCGGCCCAGGGAGCTTCTCATGGGTTGAACCACTCGCCTCCATGGGTTGGATTCAGCCTGAAGGGATCCCCGCTGTGGCTGATGGAACGCCTGAGGCTGCAGTAATAATCTCCACTGTTTTGGCGTGGCTCAGGGAGTTACCTCCCCTCACCTTACCCCTCTTACTTGCTCCTGAAATTAAGGGTTTTAGTTGCCTCTGATAACCAAGACCAGTATCAAGGGAAAAGTGGGGAGGAGAGTGGTGTTAACTCTGGATTCCAGACTTGTGCTGCAACTTCAGCTTTGGCTGCCATGGGAATTAATGCCACTGCTCCCACCACTCATGCACTGTTCAGTCTGCAGAAAGCCCCACAGTCTGGATCCAGCCTGTGGGGCCCAATGAATTTAACA